CTAAAAATATAATTAAATCTAAAAATTAACCCAAATGTATAGAAATAACTACCATATTTACATAATGTGATTAAAGTTTGTAGACTTTCTCACGATGCCAGGTAGCCTTCCGTTGTTGAAAAGCAAAAACACAGAGTGGCCTGGGTTGTCTTCATGTCTAGGATTTTAGCCACATTTAAGGCTTCAACTTTGTACTGAGTTTGTGGGAGCGGGAGAGTAGGAGGAGTGGTAGGAGGTACTTGTGTTGGAAAAACCATATTGAACTGTCACATGCTAACTTCCACAGATAAAAGTGGAACCAGTCGCTCTGGCCCCGAGTCCAGTTATCCCCAGATTAACTCTCCGAGTCGGTGCTGGCCAAGACAAGATGTAAGTATAAACGTTTTGAATCAGAGTGAAACAAATGAAACTTAACCTTCTCTACCCTTTCCTAATGGACTTAGAACTCCACAAGCTTCTCCCAGGTATGAACATGGAGGGTCAAGCTTTGTTTTCTTCCACAGAGTAAATGCTTTTCACTTTATTTAACATAGAGGATTGTTTTTTCTTGTTCTTTTTCTCTTTTTTAAAGACTAGTGCCTGACATTATTTCTGGATAGTGTTTAAGGTCCTAGTTTTTCTGAAAAATAAGAAACTGTACTGAATGGACTCACTGCCACATTACACCCAGGTGGATGCAATGTTACACTTTCTTAAGTACATAGTATCTATCACCATGACGAAGAACAAAGATTCTATTTTATTCAGATGGCACATGGTTTTATTCTGTACCTGTAAAACAAAGATATGCCAAAGGCTTGGAGAGATACTATGTAATAGTCACAACTGATATCTTAGTTCACTTTTTTTTAAAGAGAGCACTAGAAATGTAAACCCCATGTTATCTGTTTATTTGTCTTTCATGGAATCATCATATCAACCCACTGGTCTTTATGTTTAATCTGTTGGATATTTTTCTTTTATTTATTTTTTTGGGGAAGCATTAAGGCCTACAGTGCTCTTCCCTGATCCTGTTAAGGTAATGAAACATTGGGGGTTTTTTTGTTTGTAACTCACATTGAAAATCATTCTCCTTGTTCCAAAGGCATAGTATGCATCGTTTAAATAAAATACACAAGATAAAAATACTACAACCTTATTTTTTCCCATTAAGCCTGAAAATGCAGTTTGCAGTGCAATCGAATACTGTGTTGAAAATAGGCTTACAAGGCGTTCCATGTACATTCAATTTTTAGCCATAAAAGTGAGAGTAGGAGGCAAGAATTTATTTAGCAGATAGAGGACAGAAAATTCGCTTCGTATTCTCAGTGGTTCATTTCATCTTAAAAGTTACATGTATCAATACTGTTGCTTCTGTGGATTCCACGTGTAGTGCAAAGAGAAAGTCCAGCATGATTCTGAGGAATGTGAGCAGAGAGGCAACTGCTTTTCCAGGAGAGTGTACACGCCTCTGAAAAAAAGAAGAAAATCCAAATGACTCCTGTTTTTCTCACCTAGATTTTCTGGATAATTTCCACATTATTCTCGTTGGTTGTGCCAGCAGAGACCTAGGAAATTTAACAAAAATACTGTGGATTCAGTGCTTTTTCAACCAGATGCCTGGGATACCTAGCACCCCTATCTTACTGACAGAAGTGTGAATAATGTCCTCATCCCTTAAACAGTGTAGCTCAGAGAAGACCCAACCACAGTAACTCTTCCATCTCCATGCACATTCTGCATTTGGTCTCATTTCTCTAAGAGGACGATGTTGTTATCCATCATTCAACAAGCATTTTTCTCCTGCAGTTCATAGTTATTCCCATTTCTCAGTAGCTCACCATTACTTAATCTTGACTCCCACACAGAATTTTGGCCTGCTCACTAAGGTTTGTTAAAAGGCTCTGAAAAGCCAGCTGTGGTGGGCCATGCTGGTAGTCCCAGTTACTTGGGAGGCTGAGGCAGGAAGATCACTTGAGCCCAGGAGTTCAAGGCTACAGTGAGCTATGATCATTCCACTGCACTCCAGCCTGGGCAACAGAGCAAGACCCTATCTCTAAAAATAAAAAATAAAAGGCATTGATAGTTATATTCAACTCACCTAGCCTTAAGCATCTTTTAGGCATTCTGTTGACTATTTATTCTACTTTCCCCTCTCAATAAATCACTCACACACCTGAGATAGTGAAAGAAGTGAGAAATAAATCCCATTTTTCTGGAACAAAATGTCCAGTATCAGGGAAATTATAATATCCAGGTATTCTAGACAAATTGCCCTTGAAAGTATATTATGGGTCATGTAAACTTTCAGATATGTAGATAATGACCCCCATTTGACCAAAGGCAGATGCAAGAAAATCCTTATAATGAACAAAGAGATAAATGAAGTGAAATAGATTACATTTTAATTTAAAATAGAGCAAGAAAGAAAGAGGACTAAGTCACATAGTAATAGAATTTTATGTAAAGACTTATTCAGTAAAGTGCTTTTTGTGGGGCAGGGGTGGTGGCAGGAAGGTTCTAAATCGGAGGTCAGCAAATGATAGCCCATGGCCCAAATCCAGGCCACTGCCTGTTTTCTGTGACCTGCAAGCTAAGAATGTGTTTTATATTTCTTAGTGGCTGAAAGAAATTGAAAGAAGAATATATTATGACACATGAAAATTACATAACATTTCAAATTTCAGTGATCTTCCATGTTTTTAGGATGATGCATGGCTTAGTCCACAGTGATAATGGAGAAGGAGGTGACAGATTCCTCTCAGTGTGCCTGTGGTTACCCAGTTTGCACACACCTGGGGTGGGGGAATAATACTCTTTTGAAGTGAAATTAATGAGCAGACTGGGATTCAAAAGGGGGAGTTTGAATAGTCCAGAGGGGTATTTATTGCTGAAGAACAGGCAGAATCATCTTTTGAAATTAGGAGAAATGAAAAAGCTTTACAGGGTTCAAATTATACCCGTTGGAAGATATTTAAGACAATATTTAGTCTGAGTCTTAAATAAAGCAGTTATGTCTTCTGCCCTTGATCCAGAAAAGTACTTTGAACTTGGATTGTTTCCTCTATTCTCATTATTGTTCCTTGAAGCAAGACAGGAATAACTTGTTTTTCTCTTGATTTCACATTCCTGGAAACTGTACGCTAAAGGAGTCTATGGTGAGTCCAGGACCTCCTCCTGGTAGTGTTAAAATTCAAGATGATTTTCCAAGGACTCAGATTCCTTTAACAGGTCTTCCAGTAGTGGGTGTTCAGGGATCTCCATAGTCTATGTTGAAGATAAAACCAAAACCTTAACCCTGAAATTACAGTCTCAACAGCTAGAAACAACATATTTAGATGAATTGCTGAAAGATTTGGTCCAGCCTAACAGAAGCCTTGCCTTGATGCTGGGATAGCAAGTAAGTTTCAGCTTGCCCCTGGAACTCTGTTGACGGGATCCTGAGGCCCCACCTGGACTTCGGGCCGGGGGCAAGGTAAGTGCGACGGCCACCATGGAGGGCAAGGCAGGCAGCAAAGGGGGCACCAGGTTATTTGTCCTCCTCGTCTTACTCTGTATTGAGTTTGGTCATTTTGAGCAAGTGTAAGTACAGTTGGCTGACTTACAGCATTCATCCTTTTACTCACTTCTGTCAAGACAATAGGAGCAAGGTAATGCAATGGATTTTAGGGACAGGGACTGTTTGGATGGAATTGCCAAGAAACACTTGGCAGAATGGGGCCTGCACCTCTTCTATAAAGCTCAAATTCAGTTTCACCTTTGTGAAAAGAGGTGAAACACTGATAAAGTATTAAGAAAAAATATAAATTTGCATAAAGATTTTGGAGTGAGTGCAGGGTAGAGGAATAAGCATTCTTCCCCTCAAATTCCTCAAATGTCTCTTTTGCTGCTGTTTTCCCCTAAGGACTAAAGAGGAAACCTCGCAGTCAAGGGGTCCCCTTGCCCAGGTCCCTTGTGAGCAACGTCTCCTCCTCCTGCTCTCAGAGCACTCCTGCCTTTATCAGCAAGCACCAGACAAGGGGTGACTGGTTGGACCCCTCCAGACATCCCATCAAGCTTGGTCATGTTTTCTCTAATTAGTATCTCATAATATATTTGATCAGGTGATACAGGAACATTTGAGATGCCTTTTGGAGAACAATATTGTTACCAATGGTAATTCTAAATTCCCTTTGAGAGTTCACAGTAGGTATTCTGTTTAACAAATATAACTGCTTTTTCGAAATATGCAAATTATGTCAAGATACTTTTCAGGAACCACTTTATCTCTGGCATTAGAGTTTTCTTTCTGCTGACATTTTGCTTTCCAGTGGCAAGTAGATTGATTTCTTACAATTCAGTAACTTCATCATTCATCAGTCCTCATCCTAAGGAAAGTGCTGAAAATGTGATGTTTTTAATAGCTGTAATGTCTAAATTTTTTCTACGTACAATGAAAATGAGAGCTAAAGCTTTGTTTGTTAATCTTTAAAAACAATATTAATAGGCACTTGTCTTTGAGTGATCTAAACTTTCCCAATTAATGTTTTCTGACAATAGAAATAGAGAATAATCATGGCCAGTCACAAAAATAATCATTTAAAATATTTTTAAGGAAAATAAGCATTTATATTTTAAAATATATCCGGATTTAGCCAAATGACATTCAACAGAGTGAAATTTGTAGGGATATTTTAGTTAAAAATTCCTTAGAGAAATAATATCAAATGGTTTTTATCCTACTTCCTGAATTTTCCTTTGTATACTTGAGATTTTTATTCATATATAATTGTTTTCCAGTATAAACAAATTTAGTGGAAAGTAGAGTATATATAGTACAGTCAGAAATAGAAGATCTTCTTCCCTAAGATCAAGGGAAGAAAAATGAGCAAATGATTGTATGTCAAATATGATCATGCCTTCCTAGCACTAAGGACAAAAAGTGAAATACGTTTTTTAAATTAATTAATTTTATTTATTTTTATTAATTTTTTTTATTTTTTGAGACAGAGCCTCCCTCACTCTGTTGCCCAGGCTGAAGTGCAGTGGTACAATCTCAGCTCACTGCAACCTCCACATCCCGGGTTCAAGTGATTCTCCTGTCTCAGTCTCCTGAGTAGTTGGAATTATAGGCATGCACCACCACAAAAAATAATTTTTTGTATTTTTAGTAGAGATGGGCTTTCACCATGTTGCCCAGACTGGTCTCAAACTCCTAGCCTCGGGTGATCTGCTTGCTTCAGCCTCCCCAAATGCTGGGATTACAGGCATGAGCTATCATGCTCAGCTGAAATACATTTTTTTTTAAAGGAAGATGTCTCAGTTTCTCAGGAGAGACAGGTTTTCAAAGCACTAAATTTAAAAATTAACTTCCATGTGGGAGCAGATGACAAGGACAGTGTCTTCCACAG